AGGAGGGATCTTAGGACCACCAGAGTCCACTTAAAGGCTAAATTCATTTGGAGAAAAATATATTTAGCTGAAGTCCCTGGATGGTGTAAACAGTTAAGCACTCAACTATTAACAAAAAGGTTGGTGATTAGAACCTACCAAGAGGTGCCTTGGAAGAAAGACCTGGCAATCTGCCTCTGAAAGGTCAGAGCCTTGAAAACCTTATGGTGTGCAGTTGGACTCTGCACACTTGGGGTCTCCATGAGTTGGAACTGACTTGATGGCAACTGGCTTGGTTTTTTGGTTCAGTAGTTTAATATGGTTGTTGTACTTCATTGAACCCTCTGGTATCTGATGGGTCAAAGGTTTGATGTGCCTTTGACTTGGCCCCCAGTCTTCTCAGTGTGGTTTGAACTGGTCACAATCTACGTTTACATGTTTGTTGTCTGTCTTGTTTTGTTTTGTTTTGTCTTGACTCAATGACTCAGGAAAAGTCTCTTATTTTCAAGTACAATAATGATCAATTGATATCACTCAGTTCACCCCAGGTTCCTCACCGTTGGAATCCTCCTGCTCATAATTTGCAAAGAATCGGTATGACTTCAGTGAAGAACAAGAGATTAATTGTGAACTAGTGAAGAGCTCTGTTTTTTTTTTTCAAGAGGTCTTATGGAAAATGCATTCTAATGAAGTCTTTCCCAGTTCTCCTTTTCCTTAGTTCTTCAGTAAAGAATGCAATTTGATCACTCGTTGACTCTTCCCTTTTCAAAAGCTAATCTGGGTGAACATGGATAAATATAGTTCTTTTTTCCTTGTTCAGGAGATATAGGGAAGTGGAGTTGAACGCTCACTGTATCTTAGGTTGGAGGAGATTGGCCTGAGTGAATGGATTCTTTCATCCTGAAAAAGAAAATACTCTGACTTTGGAAGCAGAAGTAATGTTGATGGAGCAATAGCAAGATTCCTGATCTCTCTGTGCTTTTGTTTTCTCATCTGTAAAACAGAAATAATAGTGCCTAGCCCATAGAGTAGATGTGAGGATTAAATGACATCATTAAAAGGGTTTAGAAGAGATGCTGGCTCATGGTAATCCCTCAATGAATTATTATTTTTACTATTTATTAGCTCTTATCATTATATCTGTAGCATAATGTATAGGAGATGAGATTTTTCCTATTTTCTAAGAATTGGTGACCAGAGCCTACCTCTGGAAGCAGAAGATGGACTTAACATTCTAAGTCCAGAAAACCACCTGACAGCTTGCTGAGAGGTGCCTTTTCAATAGGATGAGCATTATATTCCCCTACTCCAGATTCCCTGATCCATATAAAACATGCTGGACGACAACTGGACTAAACCAAAGCTAAGAAGTTTCCTGAATACAACCAAACACTTCTAGGGACTGAGTAGCGGGGCCAGGGTCTAGGGACCATGCTTTCAGGGGAAATCTAGGTCAATTGGCATAACAAAGTTTATTAAGAAATTGTTCTGCATCCTATTTTGGTGAGTGACATCTGGAGTCTTAAAAGCTAGCGAACAGCTATCTAAGATGCATCAATTTGCCCCAACTCACCTGGAGTAAAGGGGAATGAAGAACACCAAAGTCACAAGGAAAGTATTAGCCCAAGAAACAGAAAGGGCCACATAAACCAGAGACCGCATCAGCCTGAGACCAGAATAACTAGATGGTGCCCAGCTACCACCAATGACCACCCTGACAGGGAATACAACAGAGAGTCCCTGATGGAGCTGGAGAAAAGTGGGGTGCAGAACTCAATTCTGATAAAAAGACCAGACTTAATGGTCTGACTGAGACTGGAGCATCCCCAGAGAGCATGGCCTCCGGACTCTCTGTCAATCCAGAACTAAAACCATTCCCGAGGCCAACTCTTCAGACAAAGATTAGACTGGACTATGGGACATAAAATGACACTCGTGAAGAGTGTGCTTTTTAGCTCAAGTAGATACATGAGACCAAATGGGCAGCTCCTGTCTGGAGGTGAGATGAGAAGCCAGAGAGGGTCAGAAGATGGTTGAATGGACATGGGAAATCAAGGGTGGAAAGGAGGAACGTGCTGTCACAGTATAGGGAGAGCAACTAGGGTCACATAACAACGTATGTATAAATTTTTGTATGAGAGACTAACTTGAACTGCAAACTTTCACTTAAAGTACAGCAATAAAAAAAAAAAAACAGGCTGGAAAGTGTGAAGTGTTTATGAAGAGGGGTTATCCCCTCACCTCAGTATTCTACCTTAGAAGTGTGTTCTTCTACTCCCTGAAGCACGAGTCTCTGGATGGTGCAAACAGTTAAGCATTCAACTACTGACCAAAATGTTTGTGGTTCAAATCCACCAAGAGACATCTCAGAAGAACATTCTTAATATATAAAGAACTCTTACAAAGTGATGGACAAATGTCTGAAAACCTGATAGAAAAATAGGAAAAGACATGAGCTTTGGCTCCACCTACCTTCTCATTTTTATTGCATCTAATGTCCTCCACCCACAAAATGCTTCAGCCACTATGAGCTACACCCAAAATACGTCCTAACCTTTTCTCTTCCATGCCTTTGCCCTCCTCCATACCTTCTGCCTGTAATAATCTTCTTTCTGATACTCATCTAGAAAAATTCTAGCCATCTTATCAACTTCATTTATTCATTCAGTAAGCATTTATTGAGTGAGTTTTAGTTGCTAACAGAGCATGCCTCAGTGGTGCAAATGATTAAGCACTAGACTGCTAACTGAGAGGTTGCCAGTTCAAACCCACCCAGAGGCACCTCAGAAGAAAGGTCACAGCCTTGAAAACACTATGGAGCAATGTTCTACTCTGACACACATGGGGTAGCCATGAGTTGGAATCAGCTCAACTACAACAGGCTTGGTACTAGGATTATACCCTAGTAGGAATACAAAGTTGAATGTGTCGTGGACTATTTCATCAAGATGCCCGTGGTCTAGTGTAGCAGTTCTTGTACATTTTGCCTATGCAGTACACACGACATATGTCATGGATATGTTGGGTGCCTTCCCATGGGCATCTTCTGATTTTCTATAGACTCTGGCCAAGATAAAAAAAAAAGACTCGGGTTGATTGCAATTCTCGTTTCACTTGCTGTGACTCCACCTCTTTTCTCATTACAGTTTATTGATCTCGAAGCTCCATCTTCTGTTTGAAGCCTCCCCTAATCACTCTAGGTCCAATAAATCAGTTTTTCCTCTGTTCTCCTAAGGAGGACACTTGTTTCACTACTGTGGTGTTTTTATCATTCTGTCTTGTGTTACAGCTATGTATTTTGTGCCCTGAATGCCCAGTTCATTTCTGTGTCAAGCACAACCCAGAGCATCAAGCACAACCCTTTCTTCTCCACAAAGATACCATTAAATACTTGTTATATTGAACTGCCTTTAACTGACTCACTGCCCAAAAGAGGAAGTAAATACAGGTGGGGACGATGAGCTCTAAGCAGCTTCCTGTACCCAGGAGAAAAGTGAAAAGGACTTTGGATCTTTCTAAAGCTATCACCCAACCAGACCCACTGCATTCATTCTCCAGGAAAAACCACTTGCCTACAGCAAAGAATTGGGAACAAGTGCAAGAGACTTTCGTTCCTGGCAGATCAAAGTGAGTATGCTTAATTTACTGCTTTCTATTAATAATTAGGAGCCCTGGTGGCAGCAGTGGTTAAAGAGTTATGGCTACTAACCAAAAGGTTGGCAGTTCAAATCCACCAGCTGCTCCTTGGAAACCCTGGGGCAGTTCTACTCTGTCCTATAGGGTCTCTATGAGTCGGAATCAACTCTATAGCAATGAGTTTTTTTTTAACTGATAATTAAGGAGTCCCTGGGTTGTGCAAACAGTTAACACAGTCAGCTGCTAACTGAAAGGTTGGAGTCCACCAAGAGGTACCTCAGAAGAAAGGCTTGGTGATCAATTCCCAAAAAAATCAGCCACTGAAAACTCTGTGGAGCACAGTTCTACTCTGACACACATGGAGTCACCATGAGTTGGAATCGACTCAATGGCAATTGGATTTTTTATGGATAATTAAGAGATGGTGATAAAGCTTTTCTGCCAAATTAGACTTATGGTGAACCTGGATGTGGGGTGGAGGACATGGCAGGGTTTTATTGTACTAGCTTTCTTGGGTCTGCACATAAGCAATCTACTGCTAAAAAAGAAAAAGAAAAAAATTAAATAATTTTTTAAAACCAGGTCAAAATACACAAGCATCCTAGAAAACTGAGCAGTATTCGCCAGCCATCCAATGAATAGACACTGCATGGGCAATGGGGCATCCTTTATGGATGATGGTCTCCATTTAACTAGTATTTATATGACTGAGTGACCTTGGGGAATTCATGCCCACTCTCCGAGCTGCAGTTTCTTTCTCCAGAAAATGAGGGAATCGAGCTCAATGTTCTTCAATGGACTTTCCAGCTCTGGAATTTCATAATTAAACAGGATTATTAATCACTATAAAACATACAACACTGGAAACAGCACAGCCCTTGTCCTCTGGTACCGCTTACCCACTTTGAGGCCTTAGTTTTCTCATGTGTAAAAATGGGGGGCAGGTGTGAGGATTAAAGGAGACGTATTTGTAAACCACTCACTGCCCGGTGCCTCTTAAATGCCCTCTAACTGGTAGCTAATATTATCTTTAAAACAGAATTAATAAACTCTGTTTTGGAGTCCTTCAGTGGCACAAAGGGTTAAGCACTAGACTACTAGCTGAAAGGTTGATGGTTCAAACACACCCAGCAGCACCTCAGAAGTAAGCCTGGCAATCTGCTTCCGAAAGGTCACAGCCTTGAAAACCCTATGGAGCACAGTTCTCCTCTGACACACATGGGGTCGCCATGAGTCAGAGTAGACTCGACAGCAAATGGCAACAATAAACTCTGTCTCAGGGGGGCAGGATGCTCAAATGAGCTAATGGAGGCAAAAATCCTATATAAAGGTACACACTAGTGTATACGTGAGGGATGACTCTATCACGTTTGTTTATTAGCAGAATGAATTCAATGGCTTCAGCAGGCCCCATGGCCAATTCCATGTTTGTGGTGACACCCCACAATGGTTATCCCGTGGTCCCGGGAGTCATGTCTCAGATACCTCGGTATCCAAGTAACCAGCCCCAAGTCCACCTGATTCCTGGGAACCCACCTGGCCAGACGCCGTATGTGAGTGAGCAACCTGCCCGACCAGTCTTGAAAGAAGGCAAAGTCTTAGGGGTAAGTGTGATCTCACTTGCAGGCCAGGAACCACAGGGCAGGGGCCAGAAGAGGGGGAAGATTCAGGAAATACAGAAATTCTCAACTGGCAATTTGGGTTGGAGACGGCCAAGCCTTGCCAAACCCAGGTCTATTAGAAAGCTCATCTGGGCTACTTCAGCAGGGGCCTCAGTTATGGGGCCTTGCATTATCTGACTTAGTGATCCTGAATACAAGTGATTTAGGAAAGAGAGAGAAAAGCAACAGGAAAGGGTAAAATGTTGATCCTGTTGCCAGTATCCTCTGGAAGAAAGTGGGTTCAGCAATGCCAAAGTAGGCCACAAGGTGGAGTCCAAATCCAGTGTGACTGAATCAAATCTTTACCCAATAAAATACGGATAAGAAGCTGGGGCCCTGGTGGTGTAGTGGTTAAGCGCTATGGCTGCTAACTAAAATGTCAGCTGCTAACCAAAAGTTGGCAGTTCAGATCCACCAGCTGCTCCTTGGGAAACCCTGTGGGGCAGTTCTACTCTGTCATATACGGTCACTATGAGTCAGAATCAACTTGACGACAATGGGTTAGACACCTAACAAAGTGAGAGTTTTTTGTTGGGTCCTAGGGTGGGGTCTATGCAAGGCTATCCTGGGTAGGCAAAGGAAAGCCCGTTTCGTTATGTAGCCAAATGATGAGAAGCATGGATTCTGGTTCCAGACTACCTGAACTCAAATCCTAGCTTCACCTTCATACATTGCTCAGGAAAGTATAAATTGATACGATCTGAATGGAGGGCAATTTGTACATATCTGCCAATTGTACAAAATATACGATAATGTCATTTATGAGACTTTATCCTCCAGATATACTTGCACATACAAGAAATGCTATATGTGTGAGGTTCTCCATTGCAGCATGATTTGTGATAACAAAAGAATGGCAGCAATCTGAATATCCATCAGGATAATATTGGTTAAATTGACGCATTGTCCATCCAAAGAATGAAATCTATTGGAGCTATAAAAAGTACAAGCAAGCTCCTTATGTAACAATACGGCCATATCCTAAGATATATTGTCCACAGAAGAAAGTAAGGGACAGACACTGTGGATAATTGACTGAGTGCAAAGATTTATATACAAAGATGTTCATCACAGTGTTGTTTATAACACAAAATACTGGAAACAACCTTACCTGTCCAATATCTCTGTCCTGACTATTCCACACACACCAATATCATGGAATCTGGGCACTCCTTAAAAGCCAAACAGAATACTTAATGCCATGGAGAAATGTTCACAATGAAATATTAAGTTAAAAAGACAGACATTTTGTAAACTAATTTATTATCTATGTATGTGTTTGAAAAGAATAGTGGGAAGTTATACACCAAAATGTCAATGGTTGTTTTCTCTGATTGGGGGAAAATCTGGGTAGTTTTTATTTAATTTCTATACTTTCTCTGAGGACATTGGTGATTCAGTGGTAGAATTCTCACCCTCCATGCGGAAGGCCTGCATTCAATTCCTGACCAATGCACCTCAGGCACAGCCACCACCCATCTGTCAGTGGAGGCTTGTGGGTTGCTGTGATGTTAAACAGGTTTTAGCCGAGCTTCCAGATTAAGACAGACTAGAAAGAAAGGCCTGGGAGTCTACTTCCAAAAATCAGCCGATAAAAGCCCTATGGATCACAAGGGTGCCATCCGCATCTGATCATGGGGATAGCAGAAGATGAGGCAGCATTTTGTTCCACTGTGCATGGGGTTGCCATGAGGTGGAGGCCAACTCAATGGCAGCTAACCACAACAACAACAATACTCTATACCACTTTGCAGACCAGGAAAACAAAGCATTTATTAAAATAAAAAGGAAGCTCCAAGGGGAGAGAGGATCCAGCCTCAAAAAACAAAGGCTTCAGCTTATAGCTCTCCTACAGGCCCTGCAGATCCTGATTGGCCTGATACACATTGGCTTTGGCTCCATCTTGGCGACAGTCCTCAGTGGGTACTATATAGCTATCTCATTCTATGCAGGCTTTCCTTTCTGGGGCAGCATCTGTGTAAGTAATCCCGCAAGTAAGTACTCAGAAGGTACCAACTGACCCGGGGCCACAAGGTTCCCAGTCAAGGGAGCAGGGGTGTTAGTTCAGGCCTTGTTCGCCAAGTTACAGCCCTGCAAGTCCACGTCCACCCAGAGGGGGCATTCTTTTAGGTCATCCACCCAGAGGTCAGAGCACCTTCATCTAGTTAATGGACTAATTCATACAGAAGCATTCATATGGAAAAAAGATGTGCTGGGAAAAACCCTCAAGAATTATTCAACCTGGAGCCCCTGGGTAGTGCACATGGTTAATGTTCTTGGCTGCTAACTGAAAGGTTGGAGGTTTGAGTCCACCCAGAGAAACCTCGTAAGAAAGTCTTGGCAATCTACTTCCAAACATTCAGCCATTGAAAACCCTATGGAGCACGGTTCTACTCTGATATACATGGGGGCCTCTCTGAGTTGGAATCAACTCAATGGCAACTGAGTTTTTTATTGTTCAACCTGGGCCCCCCAGCCTGAGCTCTAGGAGGAAAACACTTTCACCAATGGTCAAGAGTGGCTGCCCAGCCACAGAGCAGCAAGGGTGTGTGTGTGTGTGTGTGTGTGTGTGTGTGTGTGTGTGTGTGCGTGCGCGCGCGCGCGCACGTGTGTGTGCGTGTGAGCAGGGAGGACTCTAAACCGACAGCTCACAGATGGGTTGCAGAGGCTCCACTTTGGCAAAATCTCTGTATGTTTAGATGTGTTTTATTTTTTTTCCTGGAAAGGGTCATAACTTTTATCAGCTTTTCAAGGTGATCTCTCTGACTCCAGAAAAGAACCACAATGCCTCCTCCTCTCCCATTTATTGCCTTTATGATTTTCTCTCATTCTCCCTGGTGTCTTCCTCCATGCCCACATTCCCTCCTTCTCCTACCCACCCACGGATTTCCTTCTTCAGGTACATAGCCTCTCCCTTGACTCACACAACTGCCTGTGACTCAAATGCAACTTCTATCACAAACAGCAAAACTCCAGAGTAAACCAAATGTCAGCCAAAATCACCCTATCCCATAAGATTTAAATAAAATACCCTAGAGTCACCCCCACCCCCATTCCCACACAACATCTACAAGATGGCGGGGCTTGTGTTCTTGGTAGGTTCCTAGATGGTGCAAATGGTTTGTGTTCAACTATTAACCTAAAGGCTGGCGGTTCATAGCCACTCCGTAGCACTGCGGAAGAAAGGCCTGGCCATCTACTTCCATGCAGATTACAGCCAAGAAAATCCTATGGAGTAGTTCAACTCTGTAGCACATGGGTCTCCATGAGTCAGAATTGACTCGATGGCAACAGGTTATGTTCTTGGGAGCATCTTTCTCTGAGTGCCTGTTCTTTCTCTCTTTCCCATCCATGTCTCATTTCCTGAAGCTGTGGTCTCTCTGCTCTGCACATGCCCAGACTTCGAACTCAGACCGTTTTCCTCAGGGCCCTTCCCCAAGCCACTCACAAGGCCCCTGTGTCTATACATGCAATTTTAATGGAGTTTGGGACAATGGAGGTGACTAACACAGCAGCCACAGGAAGGACTTGCTATAGACTTTACACTCCTGTTCTTAAACTTCCGATGGCTGCCCGTACCTGGAATGCCTCACTGCCAAGTTCTCTCAGCTCCCTTCAGCCCTCGAGACCCTCCTCCCTTTTTTCTGCAGGGCAGTTTTGTTTTTGGCAGCCTTCCAGACTCCAGAACTATCTTTGTAGTTTCCAAAGATCACTAATGTCCTCTTCCAAAACAAAGGCCCATCTCCCTTGCCAACTCAGAAGGACATCAAAATTCCAGCCCTTTCCTCCCTTCCTTCCCCATCAGTCTCTAAGTGAAGCAGATTTGGAGAATGAAACATGAAGAGCATGAAACAGATTTATTTTTCCCCTGATAAGAAGATACAGCATTCCCCCGAGAAGGCAGAAGTAGTCAGAGTAAGTTTCCATTGTTAATAACTGTTTCCACTCCCTGGCACCTGAGTCTGCCCTGAGTGGAAGGGAGCATAGGCTGGGCATTAAGAACACGGGTCTGCAGTCCAGTTGCCTGGATTTGAGTCTCAGCTCTGCTGCTTACTTGCTGGATGGCCTTGGATGCGTTATTTTAAAGCTCTAAGCCTCAGTCTGCCATCTATAAATTGTAAATAATAACAATAGGGTTTGATGCGCCATCGTGTGGTTAAGTAAGGCAAGGCTTGTAAAAGCAAGAGGTGGCTAAAAAAAAAAAAAAAACCATTGCTGCTGAGTCAATTCTGACTTGTAGTGACCCTATAGGACAGAGTAGAACTGCCCGCATAGGGTTTCCAAGGAGCGGCTGGTGGATTGGAACTGCCAACCTTTTGGTTAGCAGCCATAGCTCTAAATGACTGTGCCACCAGGGCTCCTAAGGGGTGGCTAGGCATCAAAAATCGACTCTATACCTAATTTCCAACTGATAGCAACCCCATGTGACAGAGTAGAACTGCCCCCAAAGGGTTTCTAGGCTGTAATCTTCACGGAAGAAAATCACTAGGTCTTTCTCCCATAGAGCAGCTGAGTGGCTTCAAACTACCAACCTTTCACTTAGCAGGCGTCTTAGTTAGCTAGTGCTGCTATAACAGATATACCACAAGTGGATGACTTTAACAAACAGAAGTTTATTCTCTCACAGTTTAGGAGGCTAAAAGTCTGAATTCAGGGCACCAGCTCTAGGGGAAGGCTTTCTCTGTCAGCTCTGGGGGAAGGTCCTTGTCATCAATCTTCCCCTGGTATAGGAGCTTCTCAGCGCAGAGACCCTGGATCCGAAGGACAATCTCTGTTCCTGGCTCTGCTTTCTTGGTGGTATGAGGTCCCTCTCCTCTCTGCTCCCTTCTCTCTTTTATATCTCAGAAGAGATTGACTCAAGATACAACCTAATCCTGTAGATTGTGTCCTGCCTCATTACCATAACTGCCTCTAATCTTGCCTCATTAATATCATAGAGGTTAGGGTTTACAACACGTAGGATAAATACATCAGACCACAAAGTGGAGGACAACTGCACAATACTGGGAATCGTGGCCTGGCCAAGTTGACACACATTTTGGGGGACACAATTTAATCCATAATAGCAACCAAGTGCTTGACCATTGTGCCACCAGGGCTCCTTGACAACAACATGGTGCTCAGTAATGGTAGTTTTTATTAAATCAAAGCTGATTTCTTCTCAGACCACTGTACCTATCACATCTGGCAAACCCCAGCAGGTAATCCCATCAGTCACAATGTCTGCAGGATACTAATGTCTATATTCTCATCCTCATATTTGAGGTTTAGCATCATAGAGACGTAACACTAATCTGAATATTTAAAAGGCATTCATCCAGATGTGTAGACAAGCAAGGACTGGTGTTGGGCTTACACTTAAAAGCAATGGAGCAGACTCTGGTAATGGCCTCCGACTTTCCTCCAGAGCCCTTATGCCTGACTACATCCTGAGATAAAAGTAGGAAAGCAACCGAGTGTGCACATGGGAAAATGAAAGCCAAGGAAATAAGCTAGCGTTTATTGAGCACCTACTGTGAGCAGGATCTACTATGTGCGAGACACACCAGGTATGCCAGATGCAAGGCATGAATCATCTCTTGACAATGACACCTGGGAAGAGGTGTAATTATTCCTATTTTTCAGGTGAGGAAATGGATTCTTAGAGAAATTAGTGACTTACCCATGATCATATGAGTTTCAATCCAGAATTTAAAACCAGGTCCCCTGGATCCTAAAATCTATGTTTATCACACTTTGCTGCCCTGTCATACAGTACAAAACAGCTCATGCATCCTGGTTCCCCACATTGAGCCCAGGGCCCCAGCAGACAGACCTATGATGTGTGAGAGCACGTGTGTGTGATCGGAATCATGGAAGCCTGAGGAAGGGGCTCCTAACCCCTGACCTCTCTCCAAACCCTTCTCTTCTGCACCAGTTCAACCTTTCAGGATCCCTCTCGGTAGTCTGCAGAAACACAGCCAGAATCTTCCTGTCCGGTAAATCGTATCCTAAGACTGGCTCTCCCAGCTGGGGACCTATAGGATAAAGTCACAAGGGGGAAAGAATGTTAACACACAATCCCTCCCTCATCCTCACACCTACTTATACCCAGATGTGGCACACTGGCACACATGCTCATATTCACACAAGGAGTCACACGATCCTGGCCTGAGTCACAAGCAGGAAAGAACCCAGAGGATTCAGGGGGAGGGGAGGGGCAACACAACATCAGAGTCCTTACCGGAGAAGGCACAGTCAATGCTCCCAAGGGCCCGGGCTCCCTTCCAGAAGAGCAGGGCACCAAGAGTGCCTGCAGCACCCAGAACAAGCCTCTAGATATTTCTTCTGGGAAGCCAGGGAGGCCTCAGGCACCTGCTGCCCTAAAGAATCCAGCCAACAGAGCTCAGAAAATCAATCTGTACAAAGCTCAGCTCTCCCCTAGTAACAGACCATAAGGTACCTTTGCTTCTCCGAAAAGCAGGTTAGCTAGAGTAAGGGGCCTCAGGGGAAACAGGTGAAAGCCATTTGAAAAATTCCAAAGGTCAAGTTCAAAACTCTGCACGTGGCCTAGAATCATGGCGTGCCTGAGCCTGTCACTTCCTGAGACACTCAGGCCAAGCCTCCTGCCTGTCTCCTGTGGGATGAATGGGTCTAGGGTTTCCCAAAGATGATTCTTGAGAATACTTGTCCCACAAGATGTTCTGAAGACATGGCTGGGTAAACTTGGAAAAATCTCTATTTACTAACCCCCTCTCATGAAGATCCACAATCCTCATTAAAGGCACTGAGAAGTCCTGCAACAAAGACCTGTTCAACTTGTTCAATCCACCTTTTCTCATAAGTTAATTTACTCCAAAACCTTTTTGCACAAAATACCTCTTTATTTGCTGCAGAACTAGGGTCCCAGGGATGCACATTAAGAAACACTTGTTGAGTCTCTGCTCATCTCAGCTACAATTGTTTTCCTCTCCCACTTTGACCCTCTGTGTCTTCTTTAGCTGAGTGGCAGCATGGGCATGAACATTGTCAGTGCCATCTCTTCTGCGGTTGGAATCATGCTCTTCATCACAGGTATAAGTATCGCTGCCATCACATTTAGTCACTCTGACTCTATCTTCACTATTACTTCTGGGGTCTGGTGAGTATCCGTCCTGACCAATCTCTTCCAGGTTCAGACTTAGCTATGTTTAGAAATGGACCTGACAACTAAGCTTCTTTATCAAGCCCTGTAGGAAAAGCTGGTGCTGTAAGAATAATAATTAGTTTTAAAGTCCTTGCCCAGAAACTTTATTGCTATGTTTCTTTAAAGCATGTGACTTTTCTTAGCTTTAGTTTCTAATTCTAAAAATAGTACCTACCTTATAGAGTTGTTGGGAGAATCAAATGCAATTGTACATATAATGCATTATGTACTCACCGACTCTGCACCTCGACCCACATTCTCTGTCTTCTGCCTATTATTACAGACCAGGAATCATAAAACTTTTTAGGTATAGGGCCAGATTGTAAATATTTAAGGCTTTGCAGATCATATGGTCTCTGTTGTCACAACTACTCAACCCTGTCCTGTAGTGTGAAAGCCGCCATAGAAAATACATAAACAAATGAGTGTGGCTGTGTTCCAATAAAACTTTATTTACAAAATAGAGAGCAGGCAGGATTTGGCCAGCAGACCATCATTTGCCAACCTATCCTATAGACCGGTGCTATCCAGTGGAAATACAACAAGAGCCACGTATGTGATTTTAAATTTTCTAGTCACTACATTAAAAAAAGTATTAAAAAAAGAAAGAAAAGAAAATAATTATATTTTAATGATATATTTTATATTATCTAACCCAATATATCCAAACTATTATCATTTCAACATGTAATCAATGTAAAAATTACCAACCATTTTGCATTTGGGGTATTAAATCTTTGAATTCCAGTGTGTATTTTACACTTAGGGCACATCTCAATTTGAAGTAGGATTCTTAGGGTTAAGTGAGATTTGAGCACATTTCAAGTACTCAGCAGCCATACGGGGTTCATGGCCACAGGGTTGAACAGTGCACCTGTAGGTGAGCTACCTGTGAGCTGCCTGCCTGTGTCCATGTAAATTCAATCTCTCCCCCTGTGCACCACAGCCCATCCTCTCCCGCCTACTCAATGCTGTCACTCCAAGTCCTTCTCCCCTCCCTCTCACTCCACCTTTCTTTTAAGTCATCAATTTCCCCCCTATATCAGACATTTTCCATCAGCATATAAGCATGCAGCAATGTCTTCCATCTTAACAAAAAACAAAAGCTTCTCTCAGGCCTACTTTCTCTGCCAACTGCTACCCTATTTCTCTGGTCCCCTTTGCAGAAATTTCTTTAAAATAATTGTCGACACTCACTGTCTCCAATTCTCTCCTCTTACATTCTCTCTTGAACTCACTGTAATCAGACTTTCATCCTCACCTCTCCAACAAAAAGACCAAAAAAAAAAAACCCTGCTCCGCTCACAGTCCTCAGTCATTGCCCCTCCTTGGTGGACTTTCTCCTCTTGGCTTCCAGGCTCCTCCCATGCTGGTCTTCCTCCACCCTCACCACTCACCACTTGCTCTCTTCTCTGTCTCTTGTGCTGGCTCTTTCTCTTTTTTTCAGCCTTTGAGGCTCAGTCCTTGGTCATAGTCTATCTTCTCTCTACACTCACTTCCTTGGCATCCTGTCCATTCTCTTGGCTTTGAACACCTTTTCTATGATAGTGATTCTAGAATGCATATCTCCAGCCAAAGCTTTTCTCCCAAACTCCAGTCCTGTAATCCAATTGTCTACTCAACATTGGATTTTACTTCCCAGACCCTCTCTGAAGTCCTTGAGTGGCACAAACGGTTAAGTGCTCAACTGCTAGGCAAAGGTTGGTGGTTCAAACCTACCCAGAGGTACCTCAGAAGACAGGCCTGATGATCTGCTTCAGAAAGGTCACATCCTTGAAAACCCTACGGAGCAGTTGTACTCTGCACACACAGGGTCACCAAGAGTCAGTATCGACTCAACAGCAACTAATGACAACAACAACAAACTCTCTCTAATCAGTTTTCCTTATTTAAGCTGATGGCAACTGCATCCTTCTGGTTGCTTGGGGCAAAATCTTGGAGCAGCCATCGGCCCCTCCCTTTCTGTCATACTTCACAGCCAGTTCATCAGGGAATCCTGTTGGTTCTACCTTCAAAACACGTCCAGAACTCAATCATTCCTCACCAGCTCATCACGTGCACACTGGCCCAAGCCACCATCATCTTTCAGCTCAGTCACTGAAACAGCCTCCAGCTGCTCTCCCTGCTTCTACCCTCCTCTCCTTGCAGCTGTTGTTAGCACAGTAACCAGTGTGAGCCTCTTAAAATGCATGATCGCGTCACTTCTCTGCTCAGAACCTTCCATTGATCCCCATTTTACTCAGAATAAAGCCAACATCCTGGTCTGCAGACATAGGCCCTCGATTACACTCTGACTCCAGCCCCTCCTGGCTGTCCTCTTGCTCTCCCCACTCTCAAGGCACACTGACTTCTTTGTTTCCACCTTCAGACCTTTGCCCTGGCTGTTCCTTCTGCTTGGAATGCCCTTCCCTCAGATATCCACATGGCTTCCTTCATCACTTCCTTCTGGTCTTTGCTCAGTAATCTCCTTCTCATTGAAGACCACCCGAACAACAGTACCTAGAGTCATAAGCATCCATCCACACTATCCCAACATTAGGATGCTCCTTACCCTAATCTATTTTTTCATGGTGTTAAATATCTTCCAAGGAGCCCTGGTTAGCACACAGCTGCTAACTGAGAGGTTGGTGGTTCAAACCCACCCAGCAGCTCTGTGGGAGAAAAGGCCCTAGGTTAAGAGCAACCAATCAGACCATCAGTGGCGTAGTGGTTAAGAGCTCAGCTACTAACCAAAAGGTCGGCAGTTTGAATCCACCAGTCGCTCCTTGGAAACCCTATGAGGCAGCTCTTCTCTGTCCTGTAGGGTTGCTATGAGTTGAAATCAACTCGACAGCAACAGGTTTTTTTGGTTACAACAACAAACATCTAACAAATGCTATTATTTACTTGTTACATCATGCTTACTATCTATCTCCTCACACTAGAATATAAGCTTCATAAGAGCAGGGTTATGTTTGTTTCACTCACTGATATGCCTCAAATACCTGGAAACATGCCAGGCAAATATTTGACACTTCATAAACATTTATTGAATGGATAAGTGAATATACCAGGCATATGGTGTGTACTCATAAGTGGAAGCTGTTAGCTTTTTTATTTGTATTACAAGAGAAGGTCCTTCTCAGGACTTCTCTCTCTAAGAAAGGCATCTTCCCAGAGAACCTCTTGACCAAGCCCATGTGTCGTTTATCAAAAGTAAATTAAGTTTCTCCCTTCCCAGGAACAATCTGTGGCCCCCAGTTGCTTTTGGATTAAAGTCCAAACTCCTTAGCCAGGTATTTATTGCTCCCCAGGGATCCACTCCACCTCTGTCCACAGCCTCACATCACTTCAAATTCTTTGCTCACCCGGAACTCCATCTACTCCAATTCACTGGTAGAGGCAGGCACTGAGGAATACTTGGGACATTTCCTTCTGGGAAAGAATCAACAAAGGAGGAATAAGCTACTCAGTATAAGAAATTAGGAAGCAAACACTTGACAAGGACCTAAGGGAGAGGAAGAGGGGAGAGAGGGTAGGAAAGACTAAATCCCAGCAGAACAGCCAGTGCTTGGTCGTTAGACAATAGTCATTTTTGAGTCAGAAAAACCTGTCTTCTAACCAGTGGTTCAGTGGTAGACTTCTTGCCTTCCACGCAGGAGACCTGTGTTCCATTCCCAGTCAAGTCACCTCATGCGCAGCCACCACCCATCCCTCAGTGGAGGCTTGCATGTTACTATGATGCTGAACAGGTTTCAGCGGAACTTCCATACTAAGACAGACTAGGAAGAAAGGCCTGGAAATCTACTTCCAAAAATGAGGCAATAAAAACCCTATGGATCACAAGGGTCCAATCCACAACCAATCATGGGAATGGCGCAGGACCAGGCAGCATTTTGTTTTATTGTGCATGGGGTCCCCATGACTCGGGGGACTCATGAGACTGCAGCTAACAATAACAACAAAGCCCAGCTCTGTCAGTGTCTGATCTTGGAAAGAGAAATTCTCCCCACACCCACCCATTCCACCTTAGGACCTCAATCCTCCCCTCTAATCTGGGAGGGCTGGACTGCGTCAGTGGTTTGCAAATGTGGCCCAAGGGATGAAGGTGCTCCAAGAGATCAACAAAAATAAATTGTTTTCCATCAGATAATAAGGAGCCCTGGTGGCACAGTGGTTAAGAGCTCAGGCTGCTAACCAAACAGCCGGCAGTACAGATCCACCAGCCACTCCCTGGAAACCCTATGAGGCAGTTCTACTTTGTCCTATAGGGTCGTTATGAGTCAGAATCAACTCATGGCAACAGGTTTGGTTTTTTGGTTTTATCAGATAATAAATATCTAAACTGCTTAAGATGCCTCTTTTCCACAGAAGGTTTTATTTATAAAAGGATTTGGTTGGTAAAACATACAATGGATTTACAACAATAAACCAAAAAAAAAAAAAAAAAAAAAACACTGGAATATTATTCAGCCATAAAAAGGAGTGAAGTAATGACACACGTTACAACGTGATTGAACCTCGGAAACATTATACTAAGTAAAAGAAACCAGACATGAAAGGTCACATACTGTATGATTCCATTTATATGAAATATCCAGAATTGGTAAATCCATAGACGCCGAAAGCGGATTGGTGGTTGCCAGGGGCTGGCGGAGAGGGGAATAGGGAGTAACTGCTTAATGGATATGGGATTTCCTTTAGGGGTGATAAAAATGCTTCGGGACTGGATAGAGATGGTGGTTACACAACCTTGTAAATATACTAAATGCCACGGAATTGTTTACTTTAAAATGGTTAACTTTATGTTATGTGCATTTCACCTCAACTGGAAAAAAAAGTAGATGAAGTAGTCAAAAAATAAAAATTTTTAAAGGACCAGCATAATTTGTAAGGGCCCTTCCAACTCTAAGCATCTGTGATTCAATGACTTAAACATCATCACCCTGGCTTTCCTTTGGCCTGGGACATCCTCTCCCACCCCCAAGCCCCACGGACTCCCTCTCCAAAGCCTCTGGTAAGAATTCATTTCTCCCTCCTCAGTGCCCCTGAAGCAGATTTTTTTTTTCCTCTTTTATATCTCTTAGCCCTTCTGGTGTGAATTACAATTGTCTACATCTGTAACCGTCTCCCTCACCCTGCCTCTCATGATGCCTTCCATCGCCATCTGTACCAAATAGCTGTTTGATAAATGCTTGCTAAATTGAGAGGAAGGAGAAGGAAAGAATCTAAGGAGAGGTCTCTCCAAACAAGACCACTCTCTGAGCAGCTGGCTATCCCCACTGCCATTTTAAAAATTATAACTGACCAACATTTATCCAGTACTTACTGTGTGCACTTTCATATTGATTGTCTTACATAATTAGAACCCAAAGGGCAACTGGGTCATCCCCTGCCCTTTAAGATTAAAATGGAGTCTACTCAAACTCTCTTCCATACTCCTGGGGGTGGTAAGAGAGTAGCAAGAGGCGTGCTTAGATTTCTCCTGGTCACCTCCTGCTTGCTATAGAGTATTAGTTCAATTTGGGGATTATTTTACTGACTCTTTGTCCCAAGCTAAAAACTCCCCTAATTCCTCACACCACAAAATGCCCCTGTCACAAGGCCAAGAAGGCTGTAGTCGACAGTCTTAAAGGTTGGAAGGGATGATGAAGGTTTACATCAGAGCCAGCAAACTACTGATTATTGAATATTAGACATCCCTATTTTTAATTTTTCACAGGAAGCCTTCTTCTGCAGGCTCCATCTTCCCCATGTTACCCATCCTTCATCTTTCTCCTCTAACTGACTCACTCTTGTCTCTGGGGCTTGTGTGTACCCCAAAACACTTCCTGCCCAGAGCGTTTCACTACCTCACAGTCAGACTCCAGACCACACCCTCAGGTCCCATCTTGTAGACCTGAGGCAACCCACTGAGGTGTTTCCCTAAACAATGACCATTCTCTCCCTTAGAAGAACGCTGGTCCAAAAAAACCAGTTGCCTTTGAGTTGACTCTGATTCATGGCGACCCCATGTGTGTCCGAGTGGAACTGTGCTCCCAATGACTGATTTTTTTAGAAGATGTTTTTCTTCCCAGGTGCCTCTGGGTGGACTCGAACCTCCAACTTTTCGCTTAACAGCCAAGTACATTAACACTTTGTGCCACCCAGGGACTCTAAAACACTGATACTAAGTGTTAAAGTAACAATTTTTTACATCCCCACTTGATCCTCACAAAAACCTGGGGAGATATTTTCCCTGTGAGGCTGAGTGAGGTTAGGGCACTGCCCGGAAGCCCTGATACATTACAGAACTCCAGACTTCCAGCCCAGTACTCATGTCCACCCAATCTGTTCCTGTTCCAGAGCCCTGGGATGGCTATTTCTTGTGTGCTGCTCGTGTTCTGCCTCCTGGAGTTCTGTATTGCATGCACAGCTTCCCACTTCAGCTGCCAGCTGACCTGCTATCAATGCAACAACGTGAGTTCTGAGTCCAGGGTGAGGGGGACCTCAGTGAGTAGGAAGACGCCAGCAAAAAGGATGGAGACTGGAAGAGTCTTCATGTTCCTCCCTCCTTCCCAGGACCAGGGAGACTCCCACGTGTATGAAGACCTCCGTATACACTCAGACCTTCTTTGTCCTTATTGTGTACCTCCTGTGCGCTTGTTTTCCTGGTGGGCATGGTCTTCCCAAATGTCTATACAGCAAACAAAGTGGTGGTCCCAGAACCAGAGAACCCACCTCCAGAATATTCTACCCAAGTCCCGGGTTCCAAATGAGCAAAGCCAAAGGTCTTGGAAGCATCTTACACTGGGACCAAAAGAAGACCTCCCCTTTCTGGTCTTCCAGAACCTAGTTCTTCCTTTCCTGACAGTCTGAGAGAAACATCTCTCCAACTACACACATCCTGAACTTCATTCTTCAACTCAGCCTGGGAAAAGGAGCTGTCCTCCTGTTAAATAAGATACAGGAATTTAAAATGGATTTTAGCAAAGAGGTCTTCCTTAGGATGTATGCATCCACGCACATGTGGGCATCAACACGTGGGCCTGGGTGCACATGCATCCACATGCTTGCCTATGTGTGAGCTTGTGGGGTAAAGGGACAGATATCCAGGCACCCAATCTTCACTCCTGCTAACATTCATTCAAGAAATATATACTGAGCATTTGGTATGTTTGAGGCTCTACTGATGACAAGAGGAGGGAATTCATCTATAAGCAAGACACAGTCCTTGATCTCAAGGAACTTCTGGCCTCACAAGAGAACAACATGTAAGCAATTCCCTCTAACGTGGAGCAGAATGGGGATAAGCAGAGGGAACACAGAGATGGATATAATTTATTACAGTAGTAACGTAGCAAGGGATGGGGAAAAGGGGGGAGCAATCCTAGTTGATGAAGCAACATTCAAGAGGTGCATTAAAGGAAAGTAAGATTTTTTTTTTCAGTGCAGTTAGGAGCCACAGTGTTTAGAAGACCTTTGGTGAAAGTGAGTCATCTCCTAAAATGATCAGTCCCTTATCTGCTGTGTTACCACTGATGCAACAGTGGAAACACATCATGAATACACATTGTCTTAAGACAAGGAAACTTCCTGAGTTGTGAGGTGGTTGTTATTTGCCATCAAGTCAACGCTGACTCATGGCGACCCCCCGTGTGCAGAGTAGAACTGCTCCATAGGATTTTCAAGGCAGATCACCTTTCAGAAGCAGATCACCAGAACTTTCTTCCGAGGCACCTCTGGGTAGGTTCCAACTGTCAACATTTCAGCTAGTAGTTGAGCCCTTAGCCATTTGCACCACCCAGAGACTCCTTGTCATGAGGTTAGTACATCTTTATTCATAAAGGGAGAAGGATTCATCTCAAAGTTCTGGCTAAAAAGGACTAATTTCAAAGAGAAATGGCTGTGTCTATAACTTCCATATTTATAGACATAACAAACATTATTATCAAGTTAACCAATTAGCATCCAGAAGATTACATTCAAATGGATTATAGCAATAGTCTAAGGTCCAAGTGTCACTGACCCAGCTGTGGTGACATACAGAGGATAACTTTAAAGCTTTTTGTTTTGTTTTGTTTTTTGAATCTTCACCAAAATAAAAAAAAAAAAAACTCTGATTTTTTTTGGAATGTGGTTAAAAAAAAATAGAACTGTGACTTTCTGTTTCACAGTACCTGATTCACACTTGCAGCATCCACAGCTCTTCCCAACCTCCCCAAGAACTTTGGGTCATAACGTTGGTCAACTATGTTGAGTCTTTGGAAGGGGCATCATAACGTCAAAGGATGTGTCATGTCAAGGAAAGGCACAGGCTTCCCAGGACCCCCACCCCAATGCCACACTATGACAACAACTGACTTCTTCCCAGGACTCTTACTGCCCACAGTTGTTATCATTCGTGTTGATGCGCTAGTTGCTGTGGGTAGTTTCAGGCCTCCTGGGGGCAGACGCAATGTCTTACACAGCTCCTATCTCCTTTGCCAGACCCACTGTAAGACTTGGCACATAGCAGCTGCTCACTGAATACTTGCTAGGATGAAAAGCAAAGAAACCCTTACATAGTCATTCAGCAGTATGAAGTGCCTATGGTATGCATTGTAGGGAGCATTGGTGGTTCAATGGTAGAATTCTCACCTTTCATGGTGGAGACTAGGGTTCAGTTCCCAGCCAACGCACCTCAGCTGGGTGGCACAAATGGCTAAGACCCTTGACAACTAACCAAAAGTTTGGCAGTTCGAACCTACCCAGGGGTGCCCCAGAAGACAGGCCTGGTGATCTGCTTCTGAAAGTTCACAGAGTTAAAAACCCTATGGAGCGGTTCTACTCTGCAAACGTGTGGTAGCTAGGAGTCAGAATCAACTCAAAGGCAACTGCAAACAACAACACCATGCTCAACAGGTTTCAGTGGAGCTTCCAGACTAAGATGGACAAGAAGAAAGGCGTGGCCATCTACTTGCAAAACTCCGCCAGTGAAAACCCTATGGATCACAGCATTCTTATCCACAACTGATCATGGGGATGGTGCAGGGACCAGGCATCATTTTGTTCCATTGTATATGGGGTTACCATGCGGAAGGGGTCAACCCAATGGCAGCTAAAAACAACTGTATGCCAGATGCTGGATATACACTGCTGAATAAAACAGGTATAGTCCTTGACCTCCCAGAGACTAAGGCAGGTAATCCACATGACAGGTTAAGTGAAGAAAAGTATGATGAGGAAAACAAATAGGATGCACATATAGACATTACTGAAGAGTGAGGAGGAGGAGGGGACAGAGTATTGGAATGAAAGGCTGTCTAAAGAGGGTCAGTTTAAGCTGACTTTTGAAGAATAAGAAGTCCCTAGCCACACAAGAAGTGGGTAAAAAGCGTTCCAGGCAGAGAGAGCAACCTGTGCAAATTCACTAGGGCAGGAAAGAGCTTGGAGAGTTCAGAGAACTGAAATGAAAGCCAATGTGGCTGGAACGTGGTAAGGGACACGGAGAATGTGTCAAGATGGAACTAGAAAAGCAGGCAGGAGCCACAGGAAGGATCTGGATTTTATTCCAGGGCTAAAAGCCCCTGGATGGTTTTAAGCAGGTGAGTGACGTCATTTGGTTTACAGCTTTGAAAGATTATTCTGCCTACTTTCTAGGCAAAGGAACAGAAGAGGGTGAAGACAGGAAGCAGGGAGGCCTGAAGGAGCTTTAGTAATAGTCTAGGACCAAACCAAAAACTCATTGCCGACGAGTCAATTCTGAGTCATAGCAACTCTATAGGACATAGTAGAATTGCCCAATAGGGTTTCCAAGGCTGTAATCTTTATAAAAGCAGATTGCCACATCTTTCTCCCAGGGAGCGGCTGGTGGGTTCAAATCGCTTACCTTTTGGTTAGCAGCCAAACACTTAACCATGCACCACCAGGGCTCCTTATAATCTAGGCCAGAGGTTGGCAAACTAAGGCCCCAGGGCCAAAGCCAAATCAAAATCCAAAGCCTGTTTTTGTAAATGAAGTTTTATGGGAACACAGCCGTGCCGATTCACTTATGTATTATCCATGGCTGTTTTTGTGCTACAACAGCAGAGTTCAGTAGTAGTAACAGAGACCATATGGCCTGCAGAGTCTAAAATATTTACTATCTGGATTATTACAGGACATTTCCAACGCTAGAGAGAGAAGATGGGTGCCTGGACTACGTGATGACAGTGGAGACCAAGGGGTCAGGTTTGGGGCATGATTTGGAGGTGAGATCTCTATACACATGGATGGATAGGATTGTGTAGAGGAAGCTGATGAAGAGGGGGAAATTGAGGGTAATGCCAAGATTTCTGTCTCAAGTAACTGGGTGACAGCAATTTGCTGAGATGGGGAAGGCTAGAGTAGAAAAGCTTTCAGAAGGAAAAGCAGTATTTCAGTAATTTTGCCCTTAAGAACTTAACAATATTTCAGAAGTGGCCAGGAACTTAAAGATAAAATAGTCTAACCCCCAGCTGATGCTTAAATATCCTCTACAGTTGTCCCCCCACGATGTGTCTGTCAGTTTGTCATATTGTGATGGCTTGCGTGTTGCTGTGATACTGGAAGATTTACCACCGATATTTCAAATACCAGCAGGGGCACCCATGGTAGACTGGTTTCAGCGGAGCTTCCAGACTAAGACAGACTAGGAAGAAGGACCTGGTGGTCTACTTCTGAAAAAATTGGCCAGTGAAAACCTTATGAATAGCAGCAGAACATTGTTATGGTGTAATGATGAGTCCCTCAGGTTGGAAGACACTGAAAATATGACTGAGAAAGAGCTGCTTCCTCAAAGTAGAGTCAAACTTAATCACATGGATGGAGTCAAGCTTTTGGGAGTTTCATTTGTTGATGTGGCATGACTCAAAATGAGAAGAAACAGCTGCAAACATCCATTAATAATCAGAACATGGAATGTACAAAGTATGAATCTAAGAAAATTGGAAGTTGTCAAAAATGAAATGGAACACATAAAGATTGATATCCTAGGCATTAGTGAGCTGAAAGGGACTGGTATTAGCCATTTTGAATCAGACAGTCGTGTGGTCTACTATGCCTGGAATGACAAATTTGAAGAGAAATTGCATCACATTCATTGACAAAGGAATATTTCAAGATCTATCCTGAAGTACAATGCTGTCAGTGATAGGTTAATATCCATACACCTTCAAGGAAGACCAGTTACTACGACTGCCATTCAAATTTATGCACCAACCACTATGGCCAAAGATGAAGAAATTGAAGATTTTTATCAACTTCGGCAGTCTGAAATTGATTGAACATGCAATCAGGATGCATTGATAATTACTGGTGACTGGAATGCTATTGGTTTTTAGAGTTTTTAGAGCATATAATGATGGCACCTCAGCAGGCAGCCCATCCCATCCTTTGACAACTCAGACTAGGAAGCTTTTTTGCTTAGAATGAGTTTAAGTGAGAATCCAGATAAGACACACCCAGTTAACTGTCACCTGGCAGATAAAAAGAATAGATAAGGTTCAGTCCCAGCCCATTCATTTGCTGCCAAGGCCTCTGGTGGGCCAAAGGCCCTCACTTTCGCTTTGGTTCATCCTCCTACCCCTACCCAGCCAGGTGAGGCTGTTATCAAGTACAGTTTTTATGTCTCATAAAGTTAAATCAATAACCAGGAGTCAATAGTAAGAGGTCATACAGACACAGAGGGCAACGAAAGCAGAAGCAGCAAGTTAAACCTCATCCAGGGAAGAGATCAATAAAATGCCATAAAGGACTACCCTCAGGGGTCAGTCCAAAGGCTACCAGAAACATTGGAGAATGCCCCCACCCTCCTCCACTGAACACCACCAGTGTGCTTAGCACAGGGATGTAGGTGTTCAGTAAATGCCTGTTGAATAAAGCTGATCTTCTGAGGAAGGAAGAAATTAACACTTATTGAACCGTAAT